GGGAGAGAGAGAGAGAAAGAGAGAGAGAGAGAGAGATCTGTCATAGAGAAGAGAGGGCTAGACCCGTCCTCCAAAGATCAAAAAGCAGGACGAGAAGCAACAGATGGAAACTGATCAAAGGCAGATCCAGCCTAGAACTAAGGAGAAACTTCCTGACAGTCAGAAGAGTCAACCAGTGGAGCAGAAGCTGCCTCCAGAGGTTGTGGCTGCTCCATCACTGGAGGTTTCTAAGAAACAATTAAGCAGCCATTTGTCGAGAATGGTACGGGGTCTCTGGCTTGAGCAGGGGGGTGGGTGGACTAGAGTAGCTTGCCGTCCTGGCCTGGCACGGGGGGGGGGGGGGGCATGTGAGTGGCAGGTGCACATGCCACGGGCACGGCTCCATTTGTGCGAGCAGCGTGCACGCACTCTCCTCTGGCGGAAACAGAGCTTCGTACCCGTGGGCAAGTGCCCTCCGCTCGTGAAAGTGGAATTTCGTGCGCTTGCTTGCCCATTTCTCCTGCTGCCTGCTTTCAAACAAGCCACGGCCCGGCAGTGGGCTTGGGGACCCCTGGACTAGCGGACCCCCGAGGTCCTTTCAGCCCTGTCATTCTGTGTTCTGCGAATGCCAGCTCAGGACTCGGAGGGCGTCTCTGCTCTCTGGATCCCGGCGGGGGGGGAGAGCGATTCCTCTCCCGTCGCTCGAACCTCCGGCTGGACACGGAAGCATTTCAGCCTCCAGGTCTTTCTCAGAGAGCGCAGTAAATAAAGAATATTAAAACTCTTTGTCAGCCTCTGGAACTCCCCGCCCCCCCAAATGTGTCCAGGGGACGATTATGAATGGGTGCCAGGGGTTAGTGAAGGGGTTCCTTTGCTTCGTCTCCCCACGGCCAGTTGGGACTCCGGACCCGTTGACCCATCGCCTGGGGCCTGTCCCTTTCCACATCTAGCCAGCAGGAGAGTTGGCCTCTAGCCTTTGGGGAGGGGGCTTCGCAGAGCTCCAAGGACGTGCTGGTGGGCTTTCTCCCCGAGGGAGATGGCTGCAGAGGGGCTCCCCGTTGGCCCAGCCTTTTTTCTCCGCCTGGCTGGCTGGTTTACTTGTATAGTGCTGGCTGAGGCCGCTTGGACTCCCCGGAGCAGGTTAGCGTTTGCATCAAACATGTGCGGCGGTAACAGCCCCCCCCCACACACACACACCATTTTGTTGCTGTAGAGAGCGAGGAGAAAGATGAAAGTTGGGCAGAATGAGAGATTAGCATCTATTTGATGTTCCATTTAGCAATTAAAGAAAAAAAATGTTTTTGACTCACTCTAAGATACGCTTGAAGACCAGTAAGGACTGTACTAGACCTTCCTTCCTTCCCTGTTTCCCTATTTCCTTCCTTCTCTCTCTCTTTTCCTTCCTTCCATACTTCCTTCCTTCTCTCTTTTCCTTCCTTCATATTTCTTTCCTTCTCTCTCTTTTTTCCTTCCTTCCTTCTACATTTCCTTTCTTCTCTCTTTTCCTTCCTTCCTTATTTCCCTATTTCCTTCCTTCTCTCTTTTCTTTCCTTCCTTCATATTTCCTTCCTTCCATATTTCCTTCTCTCTTTTCCTTCCTTCCCTATTTCCTTCTCTCTCTCTTTTCCTTCCTTCCTTCCGTATTTCCTTCCTTCTCTTTCTCTCTCTATCTCCTTCCCTCCCTCCTTTCCTTTCTTCCTTCCTTTCATATTTCCTTCCTTCTCTCTCTTTTTCTTCCTTCCTTATTTCCTTCCTTCTCTCTCTCTCTCTTCCTTCCTTTCTTCCTTCCTTCCATGTTTTCTTCTCTCTCTTTTCCTTCCTTCCTTCCATATTTTCTTCCTTCTCTTTCTCCCTCTCCCTCCCTCCCTTCCTTCCTCCTTTCCTTCCTTTCATATTTCCTTCCTTCCTTCCTTCCTTCTCTCTCTCTTCCTTCCTTCCCTCCCTCCTTTCTTCCGTACATCACCCAGATCGCAACTGAAAGTGACTTTAGCCCTTTGGCGTTTGTTATAGCTCAGAGGAGAAAGATATGGGCCACTTTTGGATTTGCATAATTCCTTACAATAACACCTGTTGGACGCCCTAGAGCCAGATCAGGGACCCACGGGAGGGGTTTTTGCCTGCAGGCCGGAGCTGGTATGAGATTGCAGACAGAAGGGAATCTCCGTAGCTCAGCATTGAGCTGTGGGGACCTTGGTGCTCTCTGAGCTGGGTGATTTTCTTGCAGACATTTCATGACCGAACTAGGGAACCTCATCAATGCTAGAAGGGAGAGGGGTTTGCAGAGAGGGAGGAGGAGGAGGAGGAGGGGAAGAGAAAAAGGTGGAGGAAGAAGGGAGAGGAAGGAAGGATTGTGGGGTCCTGGGTGCTCTCTGAGGTGGGTGGTTTTCTTGCAGACGTTTCATGACCCAGCTAGGGAACATCATCAGTGCTAGAAGGGGATGAGGTTTGCAGAGAGGAGGAGGGAGTATTGGGAGGGAGTGGGGTTTCCGCTCTGAGAATTGATGATGTGCCCTAGTTGGGTCATGAAACGTCTGCAAGAAACTTTCCCAGCTCAGAGAGCACCCAGGACCCCAGAGATCGCAGAGGTCTGGTGTGCTGCTGTGCATGTTTCGCAGTGGCCGGCCTGCAGTCCGGGGAAGGCAGAGGGCGAGAGAGCCAGGGGGAGGCTGGCAGGAAGAGGCATCGTCCACCTGTGGAATTCCTCGGCCGCTACTCCGATGTCTCCAGGATTCAGCCTCCGGCCTCCCAGACCAGCGGCTGGCCGGAGGGTCTCCCCTCCCCTGCGGGAAGCCCCCGCTTGGCCACTGGGAGAAGCAAAACCTTGGATTGAGTTGGGCCTCGCTCGGATCTGGCAGGGCTCTCCTTTGGCCCCGAGACCTGGGTAATAGAGGTGGTCCTCAACATACGACCGCAATTGAGCCCAAAGTGAGCTTTGCCCCCTTTTACGCCCTTTCTGGCCACCGTTGTTAAGTGAATCACTGCAGTCGTTAAGTTAATAACACGGTCGTTAAGCGAATCCGGCTTTTTCCCCCGTCGACTTGGCTTGTGAGAACGTCGCAAAAGGGGATCACGTGAGACACGTGCCCCGGGACACTGCGACCGTCGTAAATACGAGTCGGTTGTCAGTCTGAATGTAAATCACGTGACCCTGGGGGGGGGATGCTGCAAGGGTCCTCCGAGTGAAAAATGGTCATAAGTCACTTTTCAGGGCCGTTGTAACTTTGAACCGTCACTGAGTTGAGGACTCCCTATAGGACCTGAGAGACGCAGAACCCCCCCCCCCCCCCAAAAAAAAAAACGGCTCGGAGCCTCAGCTGGGTCTCTTCTTAACCCAGAGACTGGGAAGGGGACCCCAGCCATCCCAGAAAAAGAGGACCCTCTCGGTGGGCGAGGGGATGTGTGTCTCCCTTGCAGGCCCACAGCCTGGCACCCTGGCAGGAGGGGGGCCGGGCCTGCCGGCAGCTGGGGAAGCTAATTCAGGGGCCATGATTGATGGAGAGGGTCCTCTGGCGTGGGGGGCAGGTGGGGCCGCCTTGGGCGCAGGAGGGAGCAGCTGCCTCCCTTTGGGAAAGCCGCCTGATTGAATTAGCGGGAAAGAGGCGCCCGGCCTCCTCCTCGCCTGCCTTCCCCGTCGCACGGGGAGCAGCTGCGCTCTGCCACCCTCTCGCCGGAGCTGGGGGCACCTCCCACCGGGGTTGGCCTGCCGGGGGACTGGGGGGAGCAGTCCCAGGCTGGGGGTCCTGGGTGCCGGTCCGCCTCTGGGCCCCCTGAGCCCACCCACCCTTCCTTCTTTCCTTTTCCTTCCTTCCTCTCTCCCTCCCTTCCTTCCTTCCTTTCTCCCTCCCTCCCTTCCTTCTTCCTTCCTTTTCCTTCTTCCTTTTCCTTCCTTTCTTTTCCTTCCTTCTTCCTTCCCTTCTCCTTCTCCCTTTTCCTTCCTTCCTTTTCCTTCCTTCCTCCTTCCTTTTCCTTACTTCTTACTTCCTTCTTTCCTTTTTCTTCCTTCTTTCTCCTTCCTTCTTTCTCCTTCCTTCCTTCCTTCCTTTCTTTTCCTTCCTCCTTTCTTTCTTCCTTCTCCTTCCTTCCTTTCTTTCTCCTCCTTCTCCTTCCTTCCTTTCTTCCTTCCTTCCTTCCCCTTC